TTCTAAAGCTTTGAAGTAAACATGAGCACTTCTGCCTTGGGGGAAAAATGTCTTTTTTTTCAGTTGAGGTTTTCGGTAAACCAAGCCTCTGAGAATTTCCTGTGACAATATGTGCTGAAATGCAAAATGGAATGGATTTGCTGAAAGCAGCAACCAACCAGACCATTGTAAAGAAGCATCTCACCTTCCCCTCTACACATATTAGGGCTTTTGCATTTACTTGCTGTCACTGGTAACAGCCCCACTTTTGATCCATGAGGCCAAGGGAAGAACCTGAAAGTTCCCTTTTGCAAAGACTACTGAGTCCTTTGCACCAGCTACTGTGGTTTCTATGAGATACTTCAAGACAGCCAGCCATTAATATTTCCCAACCTCTGGTCTTCATAGCAGCCCCCTGCAAGCTCAGAACTAAGCTCAGGAAGGCACCAACACAGTGACAGGGAAGTCCTCAAAGCAGCGTGAGTGTCCTGAGGAACACACAGATTGCCAGGCCACATGGCCACTCTGACATAGTCCCTGTTGCTGAATGACCAGAGTGTCCTCACCTCAGAGCCATCAACCCCTTTGTTGGGCCAGAAGAGTGACTGCTGATCCTCTAGGCCCCAAATTTCTAGGGGAAGAAGGGAACAATAGCAGCCTAAGGGCTCCATCACTGCAGCAGTAGTACAAGTGCCCATCAAGGCTTCACCTTTGCATATTTCTGCAAGGAAGAAAAACCAGCAATCTTCAGGAGAGCTGCTAGCCCTTTTAAATTTCTTCACTCCTCTGATGATGCTGCTGGAAAGCTCAGCAAAAAGCCATCCCACAAACAGCAGCCTGTCTGCTGGTGATGGACTAGAGCTAAGTGTGCTTATCCCTTGCTGTCCCATCCTGGTGCAACAGAAGCTCCTGCCAGGGGTGACTAGAGAAGTCGAGTGAGCGGGGTCCTGTGACCCTTTACTGAGGTATTTGACAAACTACTAACAACTAATTTCAGTGGTGGGGCCATGACATGATCTCAAATGGAGACCAAGAGGAAGAGCTGTCTGCAGAGCCAAGCCAAACACTGCAGGCACAACTCCCAAGAGAAGGGGCATCAGAGCTTCTGCTTGGCTAGTTTTCTTTAATCAGTTCTGAAAAGCACTTGTGATTTTAACAACCAGTCCTATCAATACAATCCTGTTCAGCGCTGCTGGGTCATCCATCTAGGATCCTTTTCTTGAGAAGTCCTTGCCATGCCCTGGAAAACACCAGCCAGGACAGGGGAGCTCTCAGGAGCCTCAGCCAGCTTTGCATAAAAGTCATAGCTGGAGCACACTCCTATCAGTGGCTCCCTTCCTGCTGTGTGAGAGGAACAGGGGAAAGAGGATGGTCAGCAGCCCATTGCTCTCAGAGAGCAGGGCTGCAGGGCACCAGCCTGTTTCATCACGGGGAGGTGCAGGGAAACAAGGACTGATAAAGACAGCAAGGAGAGGAAGAAACCACAGACGGAAACAGAAGGGAATGCCTAGGGCAGGAGTCTGAGACATACACAGACACAGGTATCACAGGTGGGGAAGAGAGCAGATGGTTTGGGAAAGGCAACAGAATCACGGTGAAGGAAGAAACTCGGATGGATGGACAGTAGCCCTAGCTCCCCAGAGCAAAGGGCAACAGAGAATCTCACGCAGCAGTCAGCCCTGTAATCCTGCACACCTTCAGCCTGAATTTCCACTGCAAGGCTCTCAGACACACTCTGGAATGGGCTACACCACACAAAAACTCAAAACATACAAACAGTGCAGTTTTTAACTTTACTTCATGACAGGAGCTGGGGAGAAGTCACATTTTGAAAATGTGGGGCAGTAACACTGCATTCCCTTTGTGTTCTGCAGAACCAAAGAGAAGAGGGCTGTGTTGTGGGGGAAGATACCGAGCAGCTCTGAAAAATGTCTAACATACTTTTGCTTCTCTGACAAAACCAGATACATTAGTGAATCAACCAAAAACATTAACTTTTTTTTTTTTTTCTACCAAAACTATAAAGGAAAGTTTTTCTACAAGTGTTTTTCAGATTTTTGGGAGGAGAAAAATCTCCCAAACCAAAGTACTCATTTTCAAATGAGGAAAGAAATTACACTTTTCAAAAAGAATTTTTAAATAGTTTTTTAGTGTAAAAAATTTTTCTTTGACATCCTGCCCCTGTCTCAAAAACCTTGTGAAAAATATTTTTCTCCCTGTATTGTGGATGTTCTTTCACTACTATAACTAATATTTTCATTATGCAGAAAAAAAGTTTTGCCAAAACTTCCTCAATGGCTACAAAAAGTGAACATACACCCAATTGTAGCAAGAAAAATGGAAAATGATAACTTTCTTTTTTTTTTTTTAATGGAGGTAAACCATGAAACAAATCTGGAAAACGTAACTTCAGTGAGTTATCTTGTTCCAGTGGGAATCAACCTGTATCTCTGGTAACTCCTGAAAATGTAAAAATAATTTGACTGATTTGGGGAAACTCAGAGACAGGAATTTTTTTTTGAGTTATGGACCCAAATGCCACTCCCAAAACACAATTAAATTGTGTGTTCCTTTTGCCCTCTGAGTTCTAAGTTTTCCCAAACAACCAAGACAACTATGAAACTGCCTTAAAATCAAACAAAAAAAGGCAAACCAAAAAACCCACAAAGCAAAGCAATTCTCTCTCCAAGATTGCCACACAGTCACTTGCCTTTGGACGGTGCAGTCTGGAAGAACATAGTGCACCAAGGCATGTCTGGCTGTACTTTCACATCTACCCAACAGTAAACCAAAATCCACCTGCTGCTCTCAGTGCACCTGTACAGGAGTGGCCTTGTCCCCACCTAGGCAGAGCTGCGGGCTTGCTCCTGCAGCAGCTGGCCTCCTCCAGCCCTGCACAGCCAGAGCTCCAGGCTCTCCACACTGCTGGTCACTCATAGCACTGACTTGATATCCCCGTTCTTCAGCCACAAAGTAACTGTGCACGTGTGTGTATACTCCTATATACTTACATATACACACACACATATATTTATACCCTTCCCCTCCACCAAAAGCTTAACTCATAAGAAGCCAACTCTCCACTGAGGAGAACTGCTACTAGAAAAGTCAACCAAACAACAAATAATAGCCTTGCTCTTTTCTGTGCTAGCTTTCTCCATGAAAAACAGGCCTGTGATATCCTTTATTTTTTACAGCAGAAGGATGTCTAGTCATTTTCTTTTCAGTTTCCCTTTCAATATTCTTCAGCTTTAGTTAATTTCACAGGCCAGGGAACAGAGATGATCCTATTCTTCCACTGAATCTGGCTCAATAGGATTCTTCCACCCTGTTTCCCAGATGTATGCTTGATTTTTCTAATGTTCCCCCGATACAATAATCCCTCAGCTTGCTATATTTTACATTGCCTCTTTTGAGTCCCTTGTGCTCCCTGCAGCAGAGCTGGAAGGAAAGGAACTGAGGAGCCCTGTTCAGAGCCAGCCCCCTGCATATTTCTTGACCATGCGGGCTAACAGAGGCTCTGTTGTGCCCTGCACTGATAAAAATGTACCAACTGAGGGAGTGAAAGGCAGAGGATAGATTCATATTATACAGTGTTAGTGCTATCAAAATACAGCTGGGCCCAAAGAGCTTATTCAGAAGCTCTAGATCGTGCTTAAAAAGTAAATAAGGTGTCCTGAGCACAGCTGCCTTGAAAATGCAGCTTAGTGAAACAGTTAAAACCATTTTATGAAGTAGCATATGAAGCTGAGTCTGTTCTCTTAGTTTCCTTACTCACCAAAAGAAAAAGGGAGGAGGCTAAACTTTAAATACTTAAGCTGCATAGTTTGGTTAATAACTAGACAAATGCCCTAACTGTATTTTGCCAAAAGTTGGAGGGATGTAATGTAGTTGCCCTAGATTATGCAAGTTAGGGCTGCTTTTTTAGACTGTTATTAGGTGTAAAAATCATCCCAGCAGACAAACCCAGCACAAGGGCCTCTGCACTACTATCCCAGAAAAGCACTTCATGGCCCCTTCTGCTGTAACTCTATAACCCCCTCGCCTGAGAGCAAGGGTGATGAAATGTATGGACTCTGGCCAGAGAAGGGCCACAGCAGGGAGAAAGACCCTGTTGTCTCCGCTCCATCCTCATGTTTCAAAGCTCCACTGCAGAAAGCTAAATCTGAAGGTGCAACAGCCCAAACTAGTAGCACTCAGTTCTTACAGAGTTGTCCCCCCAGAATATTAAGACTGACACAACCATAACAGTGCCATGCTGCCACAGGAAAATCATGAGAGAGCTCTGAACTGAGCTATCGTGAGTGACCCAGGGGCAGCACACAGGTATGTCTGTGGTTCTCAAAAGCACAAACTCCCTGCATCCTCCCAGGGGGAATCTACTCCTGACCTATATTTGGCCAACAGACTTTATCAAGACAGGAGATACTCTCTGCCTACACACAGGATATGACGGAGAAATGTGTCTTTGCACGGAATTCTACAGAAACTTTATTCTCCTCTAGCTTTGCTATAAATTTTCTTCATCACCTGCACAGGTCATGATTTCTCTCACTAATCGCCTAACTCTATTATTAAATCTGAAAAGCATTTTTATGAAGTCGGGTAGGAAGGATAATTAATGTTGTAGAACGACAAATTCAAAACGAGCAGCCTCCCAGAACTCACAAACACTCTATCCTTTGACTCCAACACACACACTCAGAAAAAACAACACCAAGAACTTACGTTGATGAAAGAGAGCTTGAACTACTGCAGCTGGCCAGCTTCTTAGTCTGCTCAAATCATTCCTGTGCAGACATTGCTGTTGACCTTTTGGGGCAATACTTTTAAATAGATGCCACAGCAAACAATTTAGCTCATTTTGAAATCTCTGGTGCTTGTGACAAAGTTTTGGCCTTAGGGTAATGTGAAGAGAGACAAGCTCACAAAAGTAAAAAAAAGACAGGGTGGTTGGTGGGGGAAGAGCACTACTGCTGCTAACAGACAAGTGACATGCCAGTGTGTTTGTGACACCTTACCTTATCTCCTGGCTGTGGTCTCATAAGAGAGACTTGATCATAGCCTCGTCGAACCAAAGCCCACAGTGCATCAAGTTTGCCCTGGAATAAAAAAAATATTAATAAATATGACATGACCAAGAAATTTTGGGAAAACAGCATGAGATCAAACTACAGGTGAGTTGGTCCAGCCTTTCTGTATTAAACCTTCTGCACAAACATCGCTCCTGCACCCTTGCCCTCGGTATACTGCTTATCTAGACAGCCAGAAAAGAGACCTCAATGGGGTAACACGTACCCGATATACAGTGGGCCAAATTCACCCTACTTAAAACTCACTGAGGAAGACTGTAGGTTAATGTGAACTCCCCTAAGATGCACAATTAATAGGCATTATGATAACAAAAGGCATAAAAAAAAAAAAAGACATCAAAAGTACTGTACTGATGGGAGGCAAGGTGAGCTGGAGCATGGATAAACAGCCACAAGACTCCCTACCTAAGCAGGTTTTAAAATTCACAGGTACTTCCAGACAATAAATCCAAGCACCGTTAAACTGATTTGTGAGCATGGTGGGGAGGGGAGACATCACCCCACACAGCAGTGGTTTGGGACATGGCCAGAGGTTTCTGGGATGAGCAAGGTATGCTGCTCCCTTGGTCTGCGCTAGCCCTCCAACTTCCTTCTCTGTAAGCAGAAATAACAGCTCTGCACTGCCTCAAGGGTTGTGTGAGGATACATACATTAAAGACAGGCAGACACCAGATACTATAATGACACGGGAGAAACGAGGATGAAAAAGCGTGGAGAGATTGAATGACTTGCCCAAAATCAAACACTACATCTTGTGGCTAAACTAGAGGGTAACAGAGCTGAATCCCAACCCAAGGCCTTAGCCACAGTGCAATCAAAGCAAGGACTGTGCACTATCCTCTTTGTATGCTGCCTTGAGATGGCACAAAACAGGACCCACCCCCTCCCCTTGCCAAAGAATTCAGATATCTGCTGTTTCAATCCATGCTGTGCAAAAGTACCCAAAAACAAGGTGTGAGCCGAGGGAAGGAAGATCTCTGCTCATGCCAAAACCCTCCACTCTCCCCCAGAAATCTGTCGCAACACAGGGCCAGGTGAAATACATGTTCCAAGAAATGGGCAAAGTTGAGGGTTATTGGCCATTTTTCTAAATAGGCTCCCACAGCTCCACCAGGCCACTCTAAGAAACTGTGACGTAGTAACATGCATGACATAAGAGGCTTGGTAAAACCAAAAGGCAGACACATTACCTTGATTGGAGTGTACCATTTCCGCTGGGAAGGTGGTTTCCTCACATGAGGCTTTTTTGGCTTGGGTTCCCATGGCTCATACTCCTGTTCTGGCAACTTAATAATAGCATTTTTTGGCTTCTCCAATTTTGCTCCTTCCTCTGTTGACCCCTTGTCTCCCCATCGCACCTGAAGTCAGGAGAGCACATTGTAAGTAAAGACACAGTCCCCACCAGCAGGTGGTTTTCAGAGACATTAACCTAGTTCCCATCAAATGACCAGATAGGACGCACCCAGGTATGAAGCCAAATTTCTGAAGGCAAACTCCCACTGTAATCAGAAACACACATTTAAGAGTCAAACATTGTCAGTCAAAATCAGCTTCTACTACTAGCATTTGTACCTTCTGGTAACCCAAGGTGTTGTGGGAATTCATGGCATCCAGGGCAGATGAACCCACTTCCAAGTGAAATCTGAAGCACTCTGCCCAGCTCTGCTAGGGTATGGGTGTTAATACGCTTCCCACTGCCTCATGCAAAAAGGAGGCAGCAGCACCAGCTGAAGGTAGGTAGTCTTTAGAGCCAGTCCTAAGCAGTAGCTGTTGCTCAGTTCAAAGGTGAAAACAAGGTCAGTGAACAAGTACTTGAATGGCTTAAGAGCATCTTAAGAGTAGTTGTGCAGCTACTACTAAAAACAGCTCTTCCAAAGACGACCTTGCAGAAGAGGGGACAGTAACTTCACATACTGTACGCTACTTATTTCAAAATGAAATTCCGATTTTGTTGTGTCACTTAGCTCAAACAGAAATGTGATACTGCATTCAAGGGCAACATATGATCCACAGGTTTACTCAGCATCAAGGATAAAATTCTTTGAGGAAAATGGTTAAGGGTATTCAGAGGCAGTTCTTCAATCACAGACTTGCGGGGAAGCCATTGCTCTTGTTCTGTTAGCCCTAGCTTGGTCCTGATTCTTGGCTGGCTTAGCCCACCTCCTTCAACTACCAGTTAGATCTATTGGGAGTTTCTGGTGTGACATTCCTAAAAATTCATCATTAGGCCCTCAGCTGATACAAGAAAGTGACAATTCCCTGTCTTATGTCATCCACGATTAGGAATGTTGAATTGATTTCACTAACACAGTTATTCACAGGAGCTAGCAGCTCATCACAGCATTATCCACTTACTCCCTGGAACATTTATGCCACAGGACAGCACAAGGCAAACTTCTTTCACAGTAACACCTCACTTTACACATTAAGCCTGGCTTGTGCATGAATCCTAGCGCAGGATTAGATTTAGTGGCCAGTTTCACCACAGATATGGTTTTATGCTTTAGGAATTAATGCTTAACTGGAAAAAAAAAAAAAAAAGAAAAAAGAGGAGAAGAATCACTGGTTTAAATTTCCCAAATTCCTTCAAATACTCAAGACTTTCTTGCCTGAGACAAGAAAACTGGACCCAACTGCATTGACTGAAGGGTTAGATTCAGTAAATTAAAACTTTTGGTACTTATTTCTTACCTGCAGATTTTCTCTGGCTCATAACACTAGATTTATTTAATTATTCATGCAAATGATGGTAGCTTGATTTCTTTTACTTGGACAGTAGGAGTAATCAGGAGGACAAGCCCTAACTAAATCCTAGTCTGTACTCAAAAGCAGCTTTTTAAAAAATCACACACAAACATATTGCTACAATTTATAATTAAACATGCTGATTTTTACAACACTGAAGAACAAGAGAAATACCTCCATCCTCTTAATCCCACCAACACCTCGACCTCCATAATAAGATGCATCCACAGTTGGCCACTTTTTCTTTGGCAATCCATCTTCATCATCTGATTCCTACGGGAAAAACAGGGAGATATTGCCTCTGTTCTCACATAAATGGCACAAGCTAGGGAAAACAAATGAACATCCTATGGTCCAAACCTTGGATATCTGGCTTTGTATGTTATACTTAGTTGCTGACAAAAAACCACAAGTCTCTTGTCTCTGCAGCTGCAGTTTTAGCTAGAGAAGCCAAAGAGGATTGCCTATTCCTCTCTCCAGACAGCTTTTCTTTAATGAAACATTCATTGAACTTCAAAATCACAACTGACTTATAAGGGAGGACAAAGTGGAGATGAATCATACATTATGCTGGCTTACCAGTATGGTATGCAGAAAATGCGGCAATCAGTTAACCCAAAGAAACCATTTATTAATCATGCTTTTAGAGCTTAATGTCACCTAACAGTGAAAAAAAGCTACCACTGTGAGTTTTCTAACATGTGCATTGACCCTTTTCTCATGGCAGCTGTGAACAGTTTTTCTGTGCTGCTTGATTCTTTGTAGACTCTGGCTCAAGCTACACAGTTTGGAACCAGGACTCAAGACTCCAAAACTATCAGGAAGCTCAGATCCAGAGTTTTTGCCCTGCAAATACAAAGACTGCAGATCATTCTTCTGGAACGTGGGAGAGTCTGAATCAGTGTTTCACTTCAAGTTCTTTTTTCTGTTCTTGCTCAACTAAAAGCTGGCAAATGTTTCTGGTTCGACAACCCTGGGAACACATCTCCAGCTCTGTCATCCCGAGCCAATAGAAGTCACTGGGATTTCTCAGAGTCCCTATCATTACGCTGAGTTGAGGCAGCTGAAAGTCACACCATGACATTCTCCAAGGATACACATGATTGAGGAAAGGACCAACAAGTCTCCTACAATACCATCTTCATTCCTCACACTCTTTAATAAAGACAAATAACTACACCTCATGCTGATATGCAGATGTGTGTGCTCTCTTTGACTGGCCATGCACCGTACTCTCTACTAATTTTCATCACTATGTTTCTAGAAACACTGCCTGGCCTTAGTTTTTATTAAGAAAAAAAAAATATTCAAGTGAAACCCAAATACTAGAGGGGGACACAAGTTATTGTCAGATTACTAGATGACATTTCTCAAAATTGCCCCATATGTTTCTATTGGAATGTAAAAGGAATTGAGAGTCCAAAAGCCAATAATAGCTTTTAAAAAACATGCCATAATTTTTGTTTGTTTATATTTAACTCTTAGGCTATGCCTTGGGGAAAAGTATTTCCATCAGTTATCCAGTGATACCTGATCTCTCAGCTATGGTTCATGGGCCAGTTCCTCCAATAAATTCCTTAGTAGGGACAGGAAATACTAGAACTGTCACTTCCATTAACTACTAACACGGTTTGTTTCGGGTTTTTTTGGGGTTTTTTGTTTGTTTGGTTTTTTTTTTTGGTTAGGGTTTTGTTTGTTTTGGTTTTATCTTAAGGGAAATAAATACAAAAGGCAGGCAGTGTGGTTTGGTGTTGGGTACTGTTGTTGGCTGTTTTTTTTTTTCCTAAAGGGTAAATCTTATCCCATTTTGTGCCACATCTAAAACAGTATCCAATGAGCTACACCAGCAGTTTAAATTCATTTATATTTGATTTCATGGTGAACTTGAGTAATATATAAAATATCCTGCCTCTTCCATGCGATGTAACAGATTTCAAGCCTTCATGTCTAACAACCCTTATTGCTGTCAAGCCTGACAGTAGCAAGACACAGTTAATAGTGACGGCTGACATTCTTCCAGATGATGAAGGATTTATACCAAATATCCCCTGCACTGAACATATATCAAAGCAACATCAACAGCTACCACAGACATTTTGAGAAGTAATGGAAATCTAATGCTTGTGGTTTAGAACACGTTTTAGATAACTATATCCGGTTTAACAGCAGCAATACCAGACTGTATCAGCTAAAGGGCAGGTCACTGCACCTAGGGAGGCTAGTGTCTAAGTATAATGAAACAACAATCCATACTGGATAAAGACAAGGCCAAGCAGAGGGATGGATAACATCTGTATTCTGCATTATTCCTGGAGGCTTACGTCAGCTCAGTCTCTTTGCATTTTAAATCTCTGCTGATCAGAATAACTGCAGAGCACCTGGGAACTCTGCTGCAGGGGTGTGATGCTCTCTGAAAACTCCTTCAAACACCACATGGCTGCAATTGCATGCTTAAGGACAACACTAATCACCCTAAAACCAGCATGATTTTTGGTGTGTATTCTGAAGTTAAATTGTCACAGTGCTGCTGCCCAGCACAAGCAACAGGATCACATACACAGTAATGGTGGCCTCTGGCAACCTTGAAACAGCACCTGTGGTTGCCTCCTGACACTCATGCCAAGCTACAGCAAGTTAGCAGCAAACTGTAAGCTTCTCTTGTGGGTTAGGCAAGTATTTTTCCATCATTTAACTGTCTATGCCTAGGAAAGAAATAAAGGCAGGCATGAGTTTTCTCTGGAGGTACTTTTATTTATTACTATTATTTTCATGAAATTAGTACAGTGAAACTAAGCTGAGGTCAGTATCAGTGTGCTACTGATGGTGTCCTAAAAAGAGCTAAATACAACCCTGCCTCAAGCAGCTCCCAATTAAATGGAGAAAGGCTCAACGTCCTTCCAAAGGTCACTCTGTAGCAGAGCCACATCCAGGGCAGGCTCTTGTCTCCCTCTCCTGTAGGAAAGCCAGAAGAATGTGAGCTTCACTGTCCTTTCTTCCAGCTGCCAGACTTTGCTCCTTACTGCCAATCCAGCCTAAAGTCCTGCTGAGAACAATGGCAGTTTTACTGGAGAAGGGACAGCTTTCAGCACAGCTTGAGAAGCAAGGATTTGCCTATACACCTGTTTAGTACACAGCAGAAGGAACAAAATACCATAGGAACTGTTGGTCTGTGGACTGAGTTATGCAACTATTTTCTCTATGGATGGAAATAATTTTGCTGTATTTATGTAAAGAGGCTAGAAGGCAGAAATAACTGTCCTGACCTAAGAGACTTCCTCTTACAGTCTTCAAGGTGTTATTAAGACACCTACAGGGCAGCACAATACACCACAGTGGCTGTAGACAGTGCAACAGCTCAAAAATAGCATACTTACAGGCTCTGGAGGTGGTGGTGGCGGTGGCTCCTTGATCACCTGGAATATATAAACAATGAGAGAAATCCGAGTTAATGGTAGAATTCATCCATCTCAATGCTATGCCCTGTCTGCTTTTTTTCTCATATCACGAAAGTTTGCCCTGGTCCATTCGCCCACATTCAACCCTACTGCTTTTCAGCAGGTGTAAAATAAATGCAGATGAGAAGCTAAATCCATCACATTGAACTATCCAATTAGTCAAGTGCCCTATTAAGTACCTCATAATACAACTTCGTATCCTGGCAGTTCTGCCTTAATGTCATGTGATTACCAAGCTAGTGAGAAATATTCATTCAGAATCTGCAGCTCCTACAAATAATAAAAAAAGAAAGCCTAACTGTTGTCTCTAAAATGGACTGTAACAGCTTATGCACATACTAGTAAAACAGCTTAATTATCCTTTGCTGCAACAAGTTTCAAATCTTGTTCTAAGGAGGTCTCAGTCCTACAGAAACTTGGGCCATGTCCACAAGCTCACTTAAATTTCTTGTGCAGTGTCAAAATCATGTAGCCCTTGCAACATTCAAAAACCCAGACCAGAGTGACTTCAACAAGCACTTTAAGCAATTTGTGGAATCGGGGCCTTACAAACCTGGCAGAAACTTTCTTAAACGAAGATAACCACCCACTCCAACACTTGAACTCTGTGCTTTCATAGAGAAGAGATGAAACCAAGTCAAAAGAATAAAATCCTGTACTTACCACTGTGCAGCAAAGGGGCCAGAACCACCAAAGGAAAGCCAGAGCCAGCAGCAGAAAGAGAATCAGGAGAGCAATGAAAAGGATGGTCCCTGTCAGCTGCAAAAAAAGATGATAACTTCTGAGTTATCTGTGTGTGTCACAAACAGGGCAGGAGGCCTGACGTTACACAATTAGACCGAACAAAAAGAGCCAGGTTTCCCTCACCACAAGTTCTCAGGTAGATCGTTCAGTCAAACACTAGTTTCATTAGGGTCACATCAGTATTCAGTCTGACAAATCTGTATTTGAAGTCATGATTCAGGGAAGCTCCTCCAGTTTGTGGTGTCTATCTGTATAATTTATGTATAAGTTTATGGTACGCTTATAGCCCACTATATTTAAGGGTGCTAAACTTGTATACAGACCATTCCCAAATCTGTGCTAAACAGGTCCCTTAATATTGTCAGAGGGGTATTTAAAAATACATGCAGAGTAACCTTTAATAACTAGAGATGCAGAATATCCAAATGCTGATATTCAAAGAATGGGAATATTGAAGCTAAGAGCTTATGGGTAACTGTTCACATGCCAACACCGCAGAACAACTTACTCGCTCAGCCTCATCAGCTCCCAAGCCTGCCCGAATTGCCTCTTCACTCAAACTGCACACACAACCCCAGCCTGAGTACTTATGCAAACTAGTCCTTAGTGCTGCTGGTTCTTGGTAGTCTTCCTGGGGGTAGTTCGACTGTTTAATGACATGCTGTAATCATGATTTTAACTATTCCTGATTCTTACATTCCACCTACTCCTCTGCAGAGAACAGTGGGACACTGGAGCCAGGTGGCTAAGGATCTACATTCAAAATGGAAGTTGGATTTTCTTCAAAAGGACTAGAATAAAGAAAAAATAAAAATTCAAGTGTTAACACTTGAAGTTAACTTTTCAGAGCAACCAGGCAACCAAAGAGAATCACAGCTCTGATTTTCCTGGGTAAATCTTGGACTCTTTGCACTCAGAGCATTTCACATCAGTATGTTCAGAAGAGGTATTAACTCCGTGTATTGCCCTATAGGGCAATAGATGACTACAGGAAAGCAAATACTTTCATACGCCACTTGGTTCCTGCGGAACATACAGAGGACATGGCTTTTTTGGAAATTAAACATTTGTTACAGATGGGCAGTGGCATGCTGGGACATGCCATTTCCTTGGACTGCACTGGGCTCTGGGATGAGGTTAAGATTAGCTCTGGTGCTCCAGCCATTTATTTTACACAGGGAAAAGAAACCTCCTCAGCTGTAGATTTTCAGAGTTTGAGAAGGGGTTTGATTCACCAGCACAGGGGTACCAGACAACAGGCAAAACCCGGCAGAAAACTGCAGGATAGCCTGGGAATGGGAAGATGTGAAAAGAGCTTGAAGAAAGATCTGTGAATCAGGCTGAGGGAATAGGAGCTGGATAGAGAGCACACTAAGAGATTTTCAAAGAAGAATAGGTGGGAGGATCAATGGAAAGAAAGCAAGTTCCAAAGAAGATTTATGGAGGATGAAGTTAATGAGATTCACCTTATTAAATCTGAAACTACTTGCTTAATTCCCATGACACCAGGAACTGATGCTTAGCCCCTTCTTACAACAGGAGTTTTCTTCACTGTTCTAAATGGGTTTGTTTCCCCCCTCAGAAAATGAAAAAGCTGAGGGTGGAAAAGGAAGTACTAGCTCATAAGAGCTTTGCAAAGTCTGTGTGAGATCCCAAGTGCCTGACTTGGGTGGGACCTAGTTCTCTCTCAGGCTAAATCCTAGAGCTGTCAGGACTGACATGTTCAGGACGGGACTAACAAAACCAAGGCTCCTATTCCATGCTTTTAAGCAGGTAGACTAGCATCCCATATCTCTGTGTCACAGCATCATCATCCCTCCACTGGCCTGTGGCTTCCTGTTACAGATGCAACAAACAGACTGTTTTGGGGTACACTGGTTAGCTCACCTCATTCATTTGACTAGGGAACAGGCAAAGGCCAAGGTGGACTGCTGTGACATGTGCCAGACCCTCTGCTCAAAGGAGTCCAGTCAGAAGACACACTACCTAGCTGCAGTTCAGTGCTGCAGCCCCCCTCTCTCTGGCCCTCCTATGGCCCCATGTAGCACTAATCCACCTGGAAAGCAGACACCTGAGAGGCATGAATTCCCAGTGAAGTCAGTTTGCTAAGAAAAGGATGAATAAAAGTCAAGCATAACTTTAAGAAGTATTGCTGCACACCTTAAAAAAAAATCCCAGCACAGTAGCAATGCAGTGCATGAGCCGCAGATACACATACCACTGCTACTATTACTCCAAACACATATTACCTCCTTGCTTTGTAGTCTTTGTTCCCAGGCATTGCTTTTCCCATGCTAAGTGCTCATATAAATTGCTGAGATACTTGCCAGCAGCAGCTTGGGAGTTGCTGGCAGCAAGAAGCTGAGTCCTCTTTCAAGGATTAAATACACAAAGTATCACAGTGAAGCTGGTCTTTCAAAAGCAGACAGCAGACTTCATGCAGATGAACAGAAATAAGCACAGGGATCACACAGAGTCTTTAGGAGTAAAGTGAGGAGAAGATACTTACTGTACAGGAAGGACAGAAGGGCCAGCTGGGGAGGAGAGCTGAGGAGGCCAGCTGACTGCTACCCACAGAAAAGGAAACGCGAGAGGAAAGGAAATGGAGGGAGTCTCTAAAATGAGAAGAGTGAAATGCACTAAATTAAGACAAAGTTGGAAACTGAACTGCTGACCTCCCTGCTTGTGGGATGTAACCGGAGTGAGACAGTCTTTTATTGTACCAGCTGAGAATCAGGCTCCATTCCTCCTTCACATTCAATCTGCAAGAGGCTGGTCAAAAAACATCAGATTGACAGAACTGGAGATTGGATTCCTCTCTTTATCCCAAGGCTACTGAGAGGAAAGATTCCTGTCTACGCTCTGGCCTGTAAGAATCCCAGCTAGGGCTAAGACTTCAGTCTTCATCAGAAATTAATTACATATGGGTAACTAAATGCATCAGTTAACACTTGTGTTTCACTGCAGACTTGAAAGGTTTTGTTGCACCTGAGGTAGAAGAGGGGAATAAAATGTGGAAACATCAGTCTTCAGTGTAGAAAATTTGGAGGAAATTTTTGGAAAAAAAAAAAAAATCAGGTGAAGCAACAAACACATCTCTGCTAAATTCGGAGTTCCCACACTCCAGACTTTTTCATCAATCTGGTGTGAGATTTCCCAGCTTCATTGCTGAAAACATCAGAAAGTGAGGTTTGCAAGTTACAGTCACTGCCTCTATCTTCCTTCCTGCTGTTCTGTTCTGCAGCTGTCAAAAAGGCCAACAATGATTACAAACCATTATGACAGTATTTGGCATAGGCTATAAAAGTCCTTTTGACACTAACAACAATAAAGCTCAACTTTGACACAAAGCATTTGCTGTCAGGTACTTCAGCAAACTCTCTTTCATCCACAAGCACAAGGCCAAACCTTTAGCTACTGTACTGTACTCTACTGTACTTTGCCCCAGCTATGAGCATTGCCTATTTTTACTCCAAGGCAAGGAAGAAGTCTGCATATCTAGTAGCCAGCTTCTTCTTTTTGATTGTTTGATCCCAGGATCTGAAGCTGCTATCTCTTACTGGTCATCCCCCATGACACCAAGAGAAAAGCAATCAGCTCCTGTCACTGAAACTGTAAAAATGCCTTAGCAAATCCTGAACTAGTAAAGGCAATTGTGTGGGTCTAAGAACAAATGCTCTAAGTTCCAACCAAAAAAATAACCATGTAAGTTTAGAGGACCTTCCATGCTGTAGCCCTTCCAGATCCAAGTCCTGGCAGTTGCACCTTTCATCCCAGATCCCGTAAGTGCTCACAAAGCTCAACAGGCTGTTGCTTCCTGATGCTCCTTCCCTCATTTTCCCAGATTCCCTTTTAGTGAGATCCTCACTTTGAGGATATCTCTTTCCTGGGATAGGAATAGTTCTGGTGTCTTTTGTTGTAATTTTTTATTCACTAAACCTATAATGATGTATCCACCACCAATAACAATTTAATCTTAACTAGTCTGGTTATTTTTCAAAGAACTGCTGGGATCCTGTCAATAACTGTGATGCAGAAGCTGTAGAGAGCTCATGCTCACTCAAGAAGGCTTTGCCTGAAGAGTCACTGTCTCTTTACAAGATCCCATGGTTTCTCTGTCAAGCCCCATTGCAATTACTTACACACTGTGTGCTGGTGATGCTGACAGAGCTGGAGATGAATGTTAGCCCATTGTTCATGCTGACTTGTAGGAAAACCACCCTAAAGCACAAAACAGATACACTTATCTTTAGTGTCATCTTTATATCCATTGTTCCCTTTTTTCTGGCTGTGTTTTAGCCATTGGCTCATGAACACGCATGGATAACAAGTCCTGCTGAGTCAAGACATTTTCATGGCTTCAGGTGCTTACCTGCATTTGTCTCTCTGCTTGCCCAGGAGCTACCCTTTTTATGTTGGGTCTAACTGAGTTGGGGCATATGCTCTTTATTAAAAAAACTCCGTGCCACCTGGGGCAAAGGGCACTAGGACAGTGAGTCATAGCAAAGTCTCAGACATTTGCAATACTATCCTAGATAGCACAAGAAACTTTAAGACTTTAAAAAAAAAAAAAAACAAAACACCCTTTTCCTTTTACATCCAAGTAAATCCACAACACTTGTACTTAAGTCAAGGGGGGGTAAAACCACTGAAATGTCAGTCAAATTAAAGAATAATCTGGCCCTAGCCATTCTCCAATATCAGAGAAATGGTCCAAGGTGGGGAGGGGGGGAACCCCCAAAAACACAACCACCAAACAAAAAAAAACCACAAAAAAACCCGCACCAAACAAGCTTCCCTCCACCACAAACAGGAAAGGTGAGGGAGGCGCTCCCCCTTATCCCCAGCAGAGTATTTAAGCACCCACAAGATCACTCAGGGGGAAGGTATGGCCTTGTGCCACATTTTCCAGGAGTCTGCAGGATTACAGCAGGTAAAAAATACCAGCACTAGCCAGAGCATGGCAAAACACAGGAAGCAACATCTACAACAGCAGCAAAGGAATTAATCAAACATCTCTTTTAAATGAAAATGAAAAGTTTGCCTGGTATTCAATTACCTTTTGGTTTGAAAAAAACAGGATGCAGGAACATAGGAGAAATCATGATTCTATGATATAGGACCATGGTCCAACAAGGCCTTTGGTTAATATCTGCTAAAGACCCAACACTGAATAGAGCTATGCTGGCTCATACTAGGAGAGGATTTGTCACAAAAGGGATGGAGGTAATCCTGTCACACACACACAAATTTATTAGCTTGGCACTTTGGGCAAAATTCTGAGCCTTTATAATGACATCCTCATCCAGAAGTCCCCCCTCTCTTGAAATGTGCTGGAAAGCAATACTTACTGTCCAGCATCTTCTATCACTGGGGCAGGACAAAGTAAGTAAGTGTCGTGAACAAAGGTTGGCTTTTCATCTGTAAAGAAATGAATATAACTGAATGAATATGAATGAATATAACAAAGAAATTGTCCCAAGCAGGCCCCCTGACAGAGCAGCATTGACACCAATGAGACCCACAGATTAATTCAGTCTATAGGGAAGTACCAGTATTCCCCAATCGTACTGATTACAAAGCCAAGTACTATGACAACCATTCTTGTTGATGCAAATATGTTATCAGGCTAGAGATACTACAGCTAAGAAGTGGAAGTACATCTCTGTTTCTGAAAGCAGTGAACAGCCATTTGTAAGCCAGTTCTGAGCAATATTCATCTTGCCGATCTGACACATGCATGCATACTCTACTCATACTGAATACTCTGATCCCACAAGTTACTCAAGGAGACAAAAATGCAGGGTTCCATTTTTGCCTACCCATTTCCAAGCACACACACGAGAGAAGCCAAGGCTGCACTGTTTAAGCCCAAGGAAAAGGAAGAACAGAGATGGGGTGGCGCAAAACTGGACAGACACTGGAGGAAAAAAAAACCCATGGCTGGTCATATACAGGAGACAGGCAGAGAGGGGACAGGACTGATGCTCCTGTGAGGACCAGTCCTGCATTAGCTGCTGTTTTTCCTGTCCCCAACCTTCCCTCTGAGGCAGCATCATCCAGAAACAGCCTATGTTTATAGCAGTCTAGTGCAAGCAGCGTCAAAACCAAGGCCATAGGTGTCTTCCTGCCTTCCTGTACTTCACTGCTCCAGGAGGCAGCAGTGCTAATCCTGTTGCTTCTTGAAAGTTACATCCAGACAGCCAAGTCCTGTGAACACCGAGAGGAGGCCCAACAGTAATCCTGCATTGCCACTCCACTAAAAATGCACAATCTGAGGCACAAGATCAGACAAGTCACTGCTGTGACCGCACCTTAGCTCCAAATGGCCCAACAAAACAACTAAGGTGCTAGTCCAGAGAAAGACTTATCCAGAAAAGACTAACCCAAGTGAATTAGGGGCTGGTAAAAGCTGCCAGCTTATTTAAACCTTAGAGGCTTGATTACTTTCTACTTCAGAAAAATAAATTAACTCAACCAACAACAAATATGAGAGTTGTTCCTTCATGCTTCACCCACCCCAAGCACATCTGAAGATATCTACTTTGTCAGAGATGACACCATGGAAATTATAGTGATATGTTTTAGGGCCAGCCTGAGGGGGAAAAAAAAAAACAACAAAAAACAGCCACCATAAATCAGTGTCTCATCACAACATCTGTTGCAGACCTAACCCAAGCAGAATACAGCATGAAGAAGATGTGGAATTATGGTCATTTTCCTCCCATGTACATCCAGGCCTGGATTGTGCAAAGTCTAGTCAAGGTTCCAGTACATTAGGGACAAAGAAGAAAAAACCAAAAGTCTGTCTATCTGGTAAACCACGAGAACCAAATCACTGGCAAAGGGCATCTGTACATGGAATGAAAGTGAGACCACTAGAGTTTATTTTACACAGCCTCCATGTAGGTAACTAGGATGGGAAATGAAGGAGCAATTCATGTGCTCCCTCTTGCAAGTGAATTCACTGCTAGGGAAGGCACCAGTCTGACGGCGAGAGTATATGAAAGCCTCTACTGTGCTCAGTCAACAAGGGCAGCATATACAGAACAGAAGCAAAGCTCCCCATCCCACACTGTGCTTCACCCTGCCAGACATACACTTCTTGGGAATCAGAGAAGACTGCTGAGAAACTGGACACTCAATCTTTTCTGACCAGTCAGTCCTTTGCCTGGCTGCTGAGACAGCAAACAAAAGACCCTGTTTAGCACAGTGATGACAGGGAGTTTCCATGTTACATGCTCTCTGCAATGAGACCAGCAACTGGCATCAGAGAGGAACAGAGCAGGCCTGGGAAGGCCCTGCTTTATGGTGAGTGGCTCTTGAGCTGGTGAATAAATAGTCTGAAGACAGCACCAGGGAATCAAAGACAGCATTACTTCTTTTTACTGGTGATGAACAAGAAAATAGGGAGCAATTTTATTTCTCCCTCTTAAAACCTGATACTCACTCCTCACTGGCTGTATGCACCTCCTACATGCACCATTATAACGACACCGAAACTCACTGGGCAGCAGCATGCCCCACGTAAGCCTTCGTGACACAATGCCCACAGGTCACAGGATTGAATAAGGATAAATTTCAAGCTTCTGTTAGGTGTAGATCCATAACCAGCTCCCCCCACACCCACTGCAAGGACCCCCCCCAACATGGAAGAGAGGTGGGCTGTCACCTATCACCCATGGATGACACAGCCACGGGGTAAATTGAATCCATCACCCTTGAAACTTACTGATAGTAAGGCTGTCATTCAGCTTGAAGCTGCAGAGCACCTGGTCGATATTTCTTGCATGATAAAAGCCGTTGCCTCTTACCACAACTTGAAAGGATTCTGTAAATAAAAACAGGAAAGTTTTGAAAAACAGCTCAAATACAGCATTTCTTTACAGAGTGATCTGAAGTACAGCATGACAATGGCTCTTCTCTTCCCCATACCTGAATCAGAACATTCACACTGACACTCTCAATATTCAGCAAAAAAGGCCAAAAATCCCATAGTGGCACTAGTGCTTCACAGAGCAACACTCATCTCAAGGTTGTTCCCACAAGCACCCCATTGACCCCCAATGCCTTAATTAAAGGTTCCACAGTAACACTGTGAGCCCGACATGGCTGATGTCATCTTGTGATTCCTCCATGGCTTTTGGACCAGACACTTCCGCTAACCATAAGCACCAGTCCTTCCTCCTATCTCCACAGCAGATGGCACTTGACTTTCAGTAGCAGATCTGTTCAGTTAAGGTCTCCCCTGAGCCTCCTGTCCTCCAGGATAAAAAACGCAGGTCCCTCAGACATTCCTCGTAAGACTTGTTTCTCTAGGCCCTCCACCAGCTTCATTGCTCTTCTGCGGTCGTGCTCCAACACCTCAATGTCTTTCTCGTAGAGAGGGGCCCAAACTGAACACAGTATTTGACGTTTGGCCTCACCAATACCAAGTACAGGGAAATGACGATCACTTCCCCAGTTCCGCTGGCCACACTCCTTCTGATACAAGCCAGGACCCTATTTGCCTTCTTGGCTGGAGCCCAACACCAAGCCACAGCCCCGTTCCTTTTGGGGTTAGCCTGAATAGCCAGGCTAGGCACAAGATGCACCAGGAGAGGAAGCGGCAAGAGAAACTTCCCTCTAGGTCACAAAATGCACTGTAGCTGCTACCTGGCTACAGAGATAACATCTTTAATGCAGGCAGGTGGAGAGACATTACAAATTTGTTCTGTGCCAAATGTATTTTTGAAGCTCCCCTTGATGCTATACACAAGAAGCTAGCTGACAGCCAAGACCCACAGCACACAGCAAGGGAAAGCACGGAAGAAGTTGCAGTTTGACATGTCAATCCCCTGCTTTAGCTGAATCCTCCACAGAGCTCACTTCTACCATCCACTGAGCAGAATTTGAGACCAGCAAATACCAGGATACCAGCACAACCCCAGACCAATTAATTTTCCAGCTACACATAGGAAAAGAAGAACAAACTTCTATGAAGTTCTCCACTAGCAGCAAGTAAAACCATGAACAAGTCCACATGCACTATCAATTATACTTTGACCAACGTACTAAAAATGAGAGGAAAACAACATTGATATGATTGAGGGAGCCATACCTAATTTTCAGCGATATGAGATCTGGCTTTTGATAACATTTCATATGATGCCCTGCCATGTTATTTGTGTGCTTTGGAAGAAGAACTTGCTATTGGATAACACAAGGACCAAAGGTGGCTGCAATACATATTTAGGCTGCCTGCTCTTCACTAGCAAGCTACTGCAAAGTAAGGCAGCATCAGGATATGGGGTGCTTCCGCTTTTCCGTATAAGCAGCTTGCTCTGGAAAAAAGGCATTTCACCACACTGAGATCTAATGCAACTCTGGGTGAATTGGACAAGGGCACACACAAGTTTTGATCAAACACTAGAAACTCACTCTGGTTTTCCTCATGGTAACTTTCCCTTGGAGCAGTGCTATGAACTGACACAGGCTGCAAGGAACATGAAAATCAAAAGATATTTTGGGAGGGGAAAGAAAAAAAAATGACTGGAGTGCATATTAAAGTGAAACACTTGCTGAAGAATGATGATCAAATCCGAGACCTCACTAAGCACGTCTTTAAGGGAAGGTCTATACCTCCTGGTTCCCACTGGGGGTGGAGGGCACTTCTTTAAACAAATAAAAATGGACTGTAGAGCAGATTCAGCTGTTTCTTACTCCAGTAAGAATCTGGAGTTACTCTAAGTCCAGTTCAGGCCCTGAGCCATTCCACATCTAACCCAGCCGATATGCTGAGAGTGATTCTTGATGAGCACCCCTACTTTTGCCAGCAGAGCCAAGAGCCATGGCCAGCCGCGAGGGAACTGGGCCTCTGCCCACCTGCCAGAACTACCTGCCTGGGACCACGCATTACCCCAGACTTGCTTGTAGCCAGCCCACTCCACAGTGACTTGAACACCCAGCTAAGATGATTATATCTCTTTTTCTCTCAATTTTATATTATAAAAGGAACTTGCTTTTATAATAAAATAAAATTATACTTAGATTCCCCCCACCCAACCCCCCAAGAAATAATGGCCTTAAAAGGCAACAGCCACAAAGGCTTAATTGATAGGTATTTCCATGGCTTTAAAAAGATGCAGCAAGTAAGAGGCTTTCAACACAAAATATTGTAGGTAAAGGCCATATCTAGAAGTTCAGTCTTGTCAAGACAGTTTACCTCTGCTGCCCTTCCTTCCACTGTCACTGCCACTCTGCACAGTCAGTTATGAACAAGTGACTGGGCAGCAACCTGTCCACCAATACAAGCTGACAATATAGTTTCAATACCAGACTTGCATGGAAATGTAAATAGCTGGATTTGGCTGTTGCTGTTAAGAAGCCTGCCCCTTCAGATGTTCCGGAGCATTAATGTGTTTTGGATGATGGTCTGTTGAAATGGCTAATTCCATTTAATTTTGCGCCCTGGCTCTGGCTGCGTCCTTTTCTTCCTTAGTTACTGTCAGATCGTAGATTGTAGCTTTTGACAAGACAGCAAAGGGAAAAAGGTCAGCACTGAAATAACCGGGCAGCGCTGGCAGCGAGATGGTAGGTTGAAGCTGGTGTGCACTGGCTGTGCTGTCGGCTTCGCTTCTGTGACTCTGATGAGAAGCTGACGGCTTGCATCCACACCTGGTAGTTGATGTGGCCAGTAGGATGCCACATCCAACAAAATCTTTCAATCACATCTGTGTACCATAAGCATAATCAAAGCAATGATGCTGTCAAGCAGGATATGAGGCACCTCCAATTCTGCACCGATAGCCTATTTACAGGCTGCATGTCTTGGTCACTTTAAATCAGAGGGAACAGGAAGGAACCAACTACATTGCTCCACATTGGGGATGATGAATTTTCAGGGTCAAAAAGCATTAAGCATCAGATAGCTGTCACAATGTGACGAGATCAATTTGTAAATGGACTTGCCAGATAGCTTCATCACAGAGAGCCAGAGTTCCAAACGGAATTGTCACCACATAGGAACAGTTTCATCAGAATTTTGCTAAACCTCTGGCAAGTCAAAAATTAAGCTGAGACAACCAGTAATCACCAGCAATCACCAGCACAGTGGTAATTATGAGTTGCAAGAACAGCTACAAGAAGTGGGTCACTCTGCTCTAAGCCCTGATCATAATTGGCTTCCACTGAGCAACACAAAGCTCTCATGATCTTATATCAGGTTCTAAAGACTAGTAATAATGCTGTGTAAAAGCCAAACTGATCATGAACTCCTCACTCAAATAAGTTTCATACAAAAAGCATGAGCAGAACCACATTTCAAGGTGACAAAAAGCAAGCTTCTTTGCTGGATAATCATACAATGGTTTGGGTTGGAAGGAACCTTAGAGATCATCGAGTTCCAACCCCCCTGCCATGGGCAGAGACACCTCCCACTAGACCAGGTTGCTCAAAGCCTCATCCAGCCTGGCCTTGACCAACTCCAGGGATTGGGCATCCACAGCTTCTGTGGTCAACCTGTTCCAGTGCCTCACCACCCTCACATTAAAAAATTAATCCTAATACCTCATCTACCCTCTTTCAGCTTAAAACTGTTACCCTTCGTCCCATCACTACACTCCCCACTAAAGAGTGCCTTCCCGTCTCTCCTGTAGCCACCTTTAGGTACTGGCAGGCTGCTATTAGGTGTTCCTGGAACCTTCTTTTCTCCAGGCTAAACAAGCACAGATCTCTCAGCCTGTCCTTGTATGGGAGGCACTCCAGTGCTCTGACCATTTTTGTGCCTCTCCTCTGAACTCACTCCAACAGGTCCATGTCCTCCCTGTGCTGAGTACTCCACATCTGAACACAGTACTCCAGGTGGGGTCTCACAAGAGAGGAGTAGAAGGGGGAGACTCACCTTCCTCAACCTGCTGGTCACGCTTCTTTTGATGCAGCCCAGGACACAGTTGGCTTTCTGGGCTGTGAGTGCACATTGCTGGGTCATGTTAAACTTCTCAAATATATAATGTGACAACTTATTGCATTCTTTCAAAAGGTCTATTTTTCAATCAAAATTTTGAAATGCAAGTTTCAATTACATATATTAAAAAAAAAAAAAAAGTCCTAACAGAAAAAAAGGGGGAGGAATGCTACATTTCTAGAAAGTCCTATGTTGTAATTTTCAGACAGGTTTTTTAATGCAGGTCTATATATATTTTTATATAGGATTCAATGGCTAGATATTTTACCTATACATTATCAGTAAACTATATCAGAAATTACCTAAATTTTAAATGCATTAGAACTCTGAGATGACTTCACAAGCTTCAGTATTTTTTGCATAAGTCCAAATAAAGTACATTAAAAAATAAATCACATTACATATATAATAGAACTATATTTGACTGTCCAGTGAACTGCATTCAGGATCCGGATTCACACTACCATGAAAAAAGTTTTTCAACCCCAGGAGATTCCCGCCAGGAGACAGTGGTGCACACAGCTATAACGATGAACCACTGGCTAGGTTGAAGTAAGTGGAATAATAAAGGATAATAAAGCCAAGCATAAGTGTAAATATTTGCAGCCTCATACTATAAAACCTCTTGCAGGAGTTCATTTCAGATAAGGCTTGCAGGACTAGACTCATAAAAGCTATTACAAACCTGATTTTCAGTGCTAAAAACCATCTAACCCACAATGACAGCATGCACCAGTCAGAACTGTAGTTTTGGTTTCCTCCTACTTTCAAGCTCCCTGCTGCTATAAGCAAAGCTTCAAGAACATGAGATCCAAGTCTTCATGCCCTGGTGATTGAGCACCACACTTCACCATATACCAGCCTTTGCTGGACAGCTTTGTGAACAGGGACAGAACAAACCTCTGAATTTAAGTTAAACAAGTGCCAGTATTTCACATAATCAGCAGCAACACACAGAAACCGGTTCTGTGTTTTATATTGTCTTTCAAATAAGGCCAAAGACACCAAAAAAAAACTTCTACTGATGCAAGTAATGCAAAAAACCCCAAAAACTAAGGAGAGCGAACTATTTTTAATTGTACTTCCTTATATTTAATCACTTTTGTGATAAATTAACTACTTAGCAAGCTTGCCAAAAAAATAAGTTTGAACTCATGAATCAGGAGTCAAACTGATTCCTTTAAAAAAAAGATAAATTTTATTTTTTGCTGAAATATATCAATTTTTGAAAAGCAAATTTTGTGAAAAATTGTTTTCTCCAATATTTTGGAATAATATTTTCAAGTTTCCAGTTAAAAAAAAATAGTTTCAGATTCAACTTTCCAATACTCTTAACATTGTGCCAAACAATTACAGGGATACTTCTGAAATCCCTATTCGTGCACTCACATTTTCATGTACCTAAGTGCAATTCTTGGTGAACAGAGAAGCCTACAACAAGTTGCTGCACAAAAATTTGCCTGCTATACAATAAGCAAGCAAAAAATAATTTATCACTATGAAATAAAATAAGCTTTGAAATGTCAAAGCTTTAAAATTGGTTTTGATCATCTCCACAAGGAGATGTTTAAAAGCAAAAACATTCCTTTTTTGATTTTTCCACAGCAAGTTTTTATGACAAACATCTATTCCACAATTACATATTTAGGAATAGTTCAAAAGATACAAGGATATTTGATTTTAAATTTAAATATGCAGGGCAAGATCAACATTGTGATCGGTATGTGGAAGTGAAAAGTGAAGAGTTTCTCTTCTCTGTGATATTTATTATACTTTTTTCTGAGTTGCCTATTTTTATCTGTTTTCAAGGTCAGCTTTCATGCATCACTGCTAGTTTATTTTTATGTGCTCATTTTTACAGTGTATAAGGAAATGAACACAAGACAGTAACATCACATCTACATAACCATGATGGAAACTGTACCTTCCAGCAAACCTATGGTGTCACTCTTACTCTGCTGCAATAGTCTCTTAAGTAGACAAAAACGCAGCAAGTGAATCACTAACATAAATGAGAACAAATACAAGATAAATATATTAGATGGGAAAGGCATGAAATTATCAGCAGGTCCTCTGAGGATTTTTCCCATTTACCATATATGCTAGCAGTTCTTTCATTGCAAAAAAAGACTAGTACTTTGGGAAACGCATCAGGTATCTTGGCCTACGCCAGTTAATTATGTCTGGTTCAATAAACCCGAAATTTCTGTGAATGTTTTTCAAAATCTTGTTCTAACCGCTGACAAGTCCTAGCAGATGCCAGGAATGCAGCCTTCCCAGGAATTTGTGAGGCATTGCCTTTAGACTCTAAAACACCTCTGGCAGTCTGGCTTTACATCACTTTGGTCATTTCTTTCTCTCAGACATTTTTAAAAGTGGTATCCCGATTCCCCAAGTGCTACCTCAGCCAACTCTCCAAGGTAGCATTCAGCTGCAGCAGCTACATGTTTATTGGCACAATTTTTTTCCTCAAGCTGAGAAGGAACATGCAGGGCTTTAGCCATAGCCCGAGGGGATGCTTTAACACATCCATGGGCTTCAGCTCCGATACCACATTAGGTAGTTACTGACATTTCATCAGTGTCATTTATTTGCCTCATCGCACTGTTCTTGTGGAAACTTACCTCCTGCACAAACACTCGATGGTTCAGCCGCTAGGATCTCGATGCAAGATTTCTTGAGAATCTAAAAGATTTAGATCGTGATATTTTTGGTAATAATTTTTATCTATACTTTATTAATGCAGGAAAGGGTACAAGCGTACCCTTTTCTGGGTTTCAGAATATCCAACTTACTGAGTCAATGGTTCCTCTCAGGGCATAAAAGCCTCCCGTAACTGGAAAAACATGATCGATGCTGTCAGCAATTGTTGACAGCTGTGAAGAAAGACAATCATAAATCATGAGGAAAACAAAATTACAGTGAACAAAACTGGGTCCTTTCATACTTGTTAAAAGACATCATACTGACACAAAATGATTTATGTCTCAAGTAATTAAATAAATGCCTTAATCTGATGCTGTTACTTGTGCTGTGGTACAATAGAAAAACAAATCAAGAAGAAAGCAAAGAAAGTTACCTGAGTTTCATTGAAATCTTTCACTCCAACACAATAAACAATAGCTCCAAAGCTTCTGGCTCTGTTGGCCTAATAAGAAAAAAATGCTATTAAATGCAAAGCTGTGTAATCAATGGAGCAACAGCAAATGCATAAAGGTTTAACATAAGCTAGTTTGGGTAAACGTGAAGGTGACTTACTTCTTGTTCTGCATAATAAAACTGAACGTCTTGCAATTCTCCATCCGTCAGAGCAATAATCACACTAGCGGTTCGAACTCCTACATGGAGGATAGTTAACATTGCATACAGATGACACAAGATTCAGCAATCAAAAGAAAGCTTGAAGTGAGGCATTCCTTTCCACTGCCAAACAAATACAAACCCATAAGGCCTGACTCTCAGCCTGATTTGTATGGACTTTAATGGAGACACGCCAGCTGAAGGTCAGATGCATAATAGCATGCAATAAGCCAAAACCTGTGCACCTTCATATCACAAGCATCTCTGAAGGGGGAGTACTACTCTAACAAGGTCCACATACAAATGTCTCTGTTCCGAGTAAAATATAGCACCCACTGAGATTACCTCTAGACCTTTTGTGGGGAGAAATGGCAAAATGCATCAACAGAGAGGGAGAGGTTTCCTCTCTTATCTTAACAAACATGTCTCCATACAAACCTTGCGCAGAGATTGCTGTAGAAGGTACCACTGCAGACGGAGCTTTCCTGCCATCCTACCTTCCCCTCCAGCAGACTTTCAAAGAGCAACCCCACTGAACTGCACATGAAATGTGCTTCTACAGGAGTGTTCAGTCCTATACTTCTCACACAAGAGCTGTCAGGGAAATTCATACGAATTCTGAGTGTGGGAAAAACTTAAGATCAGGTCCACTGGAGAAAATTCATGTCTTGTGATAAGACATTTCATATCCCACCTAAGGTTAAGTGAAAAGGTTGCATAGGCTTTGGATAGCTATATATGCAATGCAGTATAGAATATAAATCCATCTAGAAAAATGCAACATGTCAACAAAATTAAACTAAATTAATATGCAAACTATAGTTCAGTCAACAATTCTGCTTCAATAGATCTTTAGCAAAGTAACTAATATATATATTACTATCAGGGAATTACTTGTTATTTTTTCAAAATAATCTGTTACAATTTCCAGTGTCTTTCTCCATACTGTCTGAAATTAAAGACTGATTAGTTCTGACAGGTTTCTTATGCCATGCAGTCCTTCCCATGTCATGTCAAACACAGACATGAATCTTAAAAAAATGACCTGCAACTTGGCAGGGGCGGGGGGGCGGAATAGCTTGGATTTCTGTATTCCTCTTTTTTTTTTTCCTGCCCAGTATGCTTGAAAAAGGCTGGAAAAGGAGATCTTTTGTTTCCTTTTGAACAGTTCTTTCTTCCCTGATATTTTAGCTTATAAATCCGGATCTCATCTCTTCCTTTTTCCTTCCTAATCAACTTACAGATAGTTGACTAGTTCTTAGCTATATGTTATGAAGAGGTAAAGTAGTTTCCAGTTGGACTCTTCAGGACTCTTGATTTCACTGACAGAAGTGTCTGAGAAGCCACACAGAGTTGCTGCTGAAGACTCTACACTCACAGACTTTTTTACTAAAAAGGCACTGACCATTTCTCCACCTTCCAAAGAGGCCATCAGCCCACAAATGAGAACTATCTCACACCAGTGTACAAACCAGGCAAGAAGTGTTCAGTTTAACTAATCAGGCCTTCTCTTGGCACAGGCAAAAAACACAAATACATTTTCCTCTTGAAATTGAGTAAAAATTTACATTTTAGGAACTCGGAATCAGATCCCAAATCATTCACACTGATGCAAAAATCTCAGCTGACTGTATTCATACCTACACTAATGAAAACAAGGTATGAGGTAGACAGGGCTGAGTGTGTCAGGACATAAGGGCACAGAAAAAGCTGGGTATTCCTGTACCCTGGGTGCAGGACAGGCAATTCTGGCCGTAATGATTTGGTCTGTATTCTGCACTGGGTCAGATCTGTGATCATACTGGTCTCCTCTGGTCTTAATAAACCATGAATCACGCATTTGAAAGTAGAGCTGTAGACAAAATGGAATGTAGTGATTGTGTAACACCAATTCCTTCTCCAACACTTCTCTTGGAGGGTTTACTGCAGGTCATATAAAGAACTATCATCTCTGTCTTTTCAACGCAGACATATAATGAGGGATATACAATGCCTACCTCCATAGGTTTCATGGTAAATCTGCTCATTTGCCTGCAATGAAGTGCAGAACATTGTTAGCTCTTAAGTACAGTAGCAGCAAGAAAAGCAAAGTTTATACATATAATACAAAGAAAGGAGGAACTGTGATATGTACCCTTTTAAATCCTTCATGCATGAATGTGTCTCCTCCAGGCACTTCGTACTGAAGAATGTTGAGCCCTCGTCTTATGGCTTCCCTTTGGATAAGAAAGCACAGGAGAAAATAATTTTATTAAAAGTTCTGTTTTGTTGAGAAATTCCTGTACCACAGATAGATTATGCACCCTGTCAGTACACTGAACAGAGTACCTACACACCAGCTAAAACATTGATAAACCCGAGATTTTTCAGCCAAACACGATCTTTCAGCCGATCACCCATGGGAGCACAAAAATCAGACATGATACAATGTTAGGGCTAACAACATTTAAGGGTGCAATTCTGTCCCTGCTCCCTCATTCTGGTACGCTGTCAGGCAAGATGAGAGTGAATAAAGCAAGTGACAGATACTAAACTCTGACAAAATGCAGATGGAATTAGAATTTAAAAGCTTATGACCCTGTGATGAAAATGGGACAAATAAAAACTCTGTACTCAGTCATCAGGACAGTTGGGATTAGGACTTTTCCATTATGAAGACAGATGCCAAAAGATAAGAGAACAGGATGGCAATGATGAGAATTTCCTGTCCTAGACCAGGGACTGATCAGCCTTCCTAGGGCACAGGCTGCTCCATGGTAAGAGATGGACCATGATATCATGACCCCTATTGCATAGCTTCTTGCTCCACAAACACGTATCTGTTAATCAAGAGGATCACTCAGGGAAATTATTAATTTTATTGATCACTGACCACTGGAAGACCCTGACCCTTAGCAAAGTTTTCATATGTCAATGGAACACAAATAAGGTCAAATCATAAAACAAATATTCAACAGACAAGATGTATGAAGTCCAAACATCAGTCCCAGATGCTATGGGTATCCTCTTTTTAAAAAGACAGTGAGACACTCTCTAAGCTCCATTTTGCAACTGGGCATTTTAGGCAGCACAACCCCAAATACAGAGGGAAGAGAAGTCCACATGGCATGAAGATAAAATTAGGAGCTGAGATTGGGGATATTCTTAGGGAAAAAAAGCACATTTAAACCCTTTCAAATAATAAAATGACCTGAAAAGGCACAGAGAATGATCCCTACAGAGAACAGGAATTTAGGAGAGGGAACGTTCTAATACCATGTTCAACATATTGCCACAGGGTTTCTGTCTACTTTCCACCTTGCAAAGAGTAAATCCTCCTGGGAGAAGTAAGCAAGTTTGAACTCAGTCACCAAGGTACAAGATGGAGACCTGAGCCAAAACTCAGTGGAGCCAGCAGAAACGTAAGACCACTGGCAGGGTTTCTGGCTTTGGATGAGGACCTGGAATAAAAAAAATGGAAGGGGGTTGTTCTTTCTTTGAAGGCTGCTTCAGAGACCCCTTTACTACTGAGGTCCTCTCACACAGAGAGAAGCAGTAGTAAAAGCAAGGGCTTTAAGCTGAAATGAAAGAAATTACTGAGAAACGCATGACAGTAATTTCTCTGCATGAGGCAAACTAAACCCAAAATTATTTAGTTGTTTTAGTTTGGTTTTGGGGGTAGGGGGTTTTTCGGGTTTGTTTTTTGTTGTTGTTGGTCTGGGGTTGTGAAGGTGGTAACAAGAATTTTGCTCCAGCCTCAGACTCTCTATTTCTTAAGAAGCCTATCACTTGGCTGTGCAAACCACCTCTGGCACAGGTGCTGTCTGAAGCAGCCCAGGAGTGGGGTACCATAGCCTGGTGAGGTAGTGCTCTGACACTAGGTACAACTGACTGCTGGCATATTCAGGGCTTTGGGCTACTTCAAAGAGCACAGTGGAACTTTCATACAGTCTTTTGCCCATTAGCTCAGGGTCCGAGATCTCTTACACAAAAATCGCCTTTATTTGGGTAGCTGGGGATAGTGAGAATGTACATCAATCCTTGACTAGACATGGTTTCTCCCCAAAATACTGTGACAAAAAGCACACAGCTCAGTGCCGCCTTTCTCTTATAAGGCTGAAAACAAAATCGTAATAGGAGACCCAAGGGTCTTCTAAGCCCTCTTCCAGCTGGGAATGGTGGAAAGGATTTCAGTTGGTGCCTGAGTTGGTGCCACACTAAAGACTGAGATAGATCCTCAAATTCTGTTTTTAAGGGCACTTGCTGCCTGAGAGAAGGGATAAAGAGTATTTCTGGAAGAAAACTGTGGGGCATACTTGCCTGTTTTCTGTTAGTTTCATGACTGTAGTGCCCCGTGAAGAAAACACGATGAAAGACATCCGCAACATTGGACTGAAACAGAAGAACAAGCCAGGTCCACATCATACGCACATATTACTTCAGTAGATTTTAATTTGCCAAGCAGCAGTAAATAAAAAATAAGTTATGTATATAGCAAATTAAAATATCATCTTAAGAAAATTTACCTTATGAACTTCTCAGCTAGGCTCTCCACAAAAGAGTAAATCTCAGTCCAATGATTTCTGACACTTCCAGACCTGCATACAAAACATAATTGATTACATTAATCTTATTTCACAGCAAAATGCCTTGTTGCACTCTGAATTTTAAGTGTGGGCTGCTCCAAAGGCAACTAGGGACACAAATTACATAGAGGTCAATAGAGATGAAGCAGCTAACTCTGATGAGGCTTCTATAGCCTCTATGTGTAGAAGCCGTAGCAAGAACCACCGTGACAAAACCCACTGACTCAAAAAGAGAAGTAGAAAGAACGGTTTACCACACAATTTTGAAATTTTGAAACAAAGTTCAGTAGCTCTTCCATCTGCTTTTGTTCCTTTTATAACATGAAAATATGAATATTTTCTTCTAGATTAATTAATTTTATTTGACTTAATTAAATAATCTCCTAGCAGATTATTTACTTTCTGAGAGCAACAGCTCTGCCCTTGCAGCCACACAGAAAGTCTTGACTGGCCTTCTATTCTCCCAGAATGCGTGGGAGAATGTTTCCATGAATTACTGCTTGTCTCAAAAGAAAAAGCTTCTGAAAGTATTTTAGAAGGGAAAGGCAGTAATCGTAGCTAACTCGCTGGACTAGTTCCGTTACAGATTTCTCATGAAAACTTGGGCAACTTAGTTACATGCACAAACTTACACGTTCGTGTTGCCATTCCCAATATATAAAACTGCATTACTGACACTCCCTGGCTTTTTTCTGCTTAGTTGTACATTCTCAGGACCCCCCTCCCCCTCCCAGTCTGATGGGACTCAGACTTCAAACAATCCCTTGCACACAGCAACTCTACAGTAAATGATAGGTGATTTCTACCATGTGGACCTATGCCATACACTTCCAAGCCTTTAAAAAAGGCTATAAAGCATGAGAAGCCAATGGTTTTGAAAGCCCTCCCTAGGACTGCAGTCTTCATGAAAGAATGGCTCATTTGCTTTCCTTGCCAGGCAAACTCACGTATCAGGTGTCTTAGGCAGAAAGATAAATAAAACAGCACCACACACAGAAGGATTGTCAGCGGCTTAGACACAGCAATAAAAAAATTGTGAAATTTAACTATTGTAAAGCAGTAGCTTTCCTCTAACTCCTTTTAGATATTTTTCTGTGTGGATGTGTATAAAGAATGAGAAAAATTATACTGTATTACAATTCTAGGTTCTATTATGGGCTTTCCAAGCACTCCTACCCCTATAGGTGAGGTACAGATCAGCATACAGTAGCCCATATGTGCAATATAACATAGCACTGCCTGCTCTGAAGTGGTGCTGGTGGAGTAGAGAAGAGCAAAGATAAAGGGACAAGGATCGAAAGGAGATCCCTGAAGTATATAAACTAGAATAAGCTTGCTCGTGTAAACCTGTGCTTTCACGCTGCTCTTCTGGAGACGTAGTGGTTAATTTGCAGAATAAACTAGTTATCAAAGAATGAAGCAATTACCAGGCACTGAGGGAGGGCAACAAAGCACCAGGGACTGCTCAAACCATGGGCCTGGATCCTCTACAGTCTCCAATTTACATGTGCTACACAGTGACATGTTTACACATGTGAGAACAGCACCAAAGAAAGGTGCTGGCACTATTAGCAAATGAGCCCTTTTCTTATAATCAAAAAATAAGCCAAACTGATGTATGTACTTTAAAGGCTGCTTTTCCAAAAGAGATCTGAGGCAGTTCAATACTTATAATTCTCCAGGATTCTTCCGAAAGTCCCAGGCTAAATCTCTAAACATGATGAACTCCATGAGATTTTCCTTGAATCTATGAAAGACTCATTTACAGCTCCCACTCTCCTTCCTTCCCTCCACCCCACCTCCTTTTATTCATTTTTGATCTTCCCTCCCTGGAACTGACACTTTCAGCTTCATTCTGAGCTTGCCATCCCACTTAAATCCAATTCCTGCAATTTTCCATTGAGTCCCTTCCCTACATAGAATAGCCACAGTTTCTTACTTGGAAAAGACTGACTTATTTTAGATGAGGTATCAAATTTCTACTGCCAGCCACAGAGGCACTGATATAACCCAAAAAATAAAGTAGCAATGAATTTTCTTTATAACAGCAACAAATCATAATTTCTAGCACCTTCTTAGGACTATTGGAGTTACTATTTTTTTTTTAATCTATTCCTCAGGCAAAGATCAGCTTGGTAAAACAGACACTCAAGAAAACCATATGCCACTAACAGTGGAAGAACATGAAGACTTTCAAAGTGAAAATGCACAGATAACCATAATGCTGCACACTTCCACATACTCTGACAATAATAAAACATCCCTTCTTGGAAAGTGCACATCCAGTTAGACTTAAGAACTGGCTGTTAAGAAATCTGTAGATGCCCATATCTGAAAAGCTGAGGAGGTCTCTGTCATGTGCTCTCAGAGTTCCTGGCTCCGCATCACTGAGCTACAACCCTGGTGAGCTCAGGAACTTCAGCATGGCAGCGGGTCTCCTCCCACAGAAGGAATTCCGCATCCACATGTTGCTTATCAGCTGGGAACTGTCAAAGCGTCCCAATCTATCAACTGGGAAATGTCACAGCCAGCTGGAAATACTAGCAAGAAAATCTTACTGTTTCAAAATCCCATATAAAGAGTACCAGTGACGTACCACACTCCTCCAAGCCCAAGTGTGTCATCTCCCACTGCGAATGATGCCCAAATGCCACCAATGCCGGTCATGTCTAACCCCCTCATGAACACCAGTGGTGATGGCCTGGCTTATAGAAGAACCTGACTTCCCCTCCCCTCCTGCCCACGCTTGCCTCTAAATATCCCTGTTTGTAAAGTCTTTTTATTTGCTGTTTCACATATATATACACATACATATGTATGTATGTTTTGGAGACTTCTGGGGTTTGTCCTAAATGTTTCACATGTTCTCCCAGAGGCCTGACCCCACACCACCAGAAATGGCATTTTTAATGGCAGATTAAACAAAAAATTACAACAATAAAATGTTTGCTAAACTATATACTAAGTTGCCAAATGCTGTCAAATATTACTCCCAGCACTGACAAACAGAAGCTGCCCAATGCTACTGAAAATACTGAGGCATTTAACTGCTTCTGGAATCTTACTTTTCACACTACAGAACCACTTTTGCTGGCAGCATAGACTAACTTGCTGCCCTTCATGGCTGGATCAGACCAGAAGGTTTTTGCCTCGGTTTCCCATGGCAAGTGGGAGGCTCCAGCGTACTCTAAGCTTCTTTCTGATCATGGCCAATGCTTCAAAGCCATACTCATTTTTAACTTCACAGTTACCAAGCCTAGAGAAAGCACAGGGTCCTTCAGTGATGCTCTACACTGTAGGTTATTCTTGGACATCCACACAGCACGATTTTTACAGCAGTTTCAGTTCTTTTGTTGTTTCCCTTAGCACCTTACAGTAACTAAAAACAGACTTCTGTTTGTCAGCATACCTGTGCTAATAGAAGCCCTGGACAAAGTTAGCACATTGTCCTGAAGTGGCACCAGTAAGTAACGACAGATTCCTTGCCTGTCCTTTCCAGCCACTAAATGATACACCCCCATAAGATTTCAGAGGAACTGTGAAGACTTGTGGACAATGAGGAAAGAATAAATGAAGCATGGAAGAGATCAGTGCTGTGTAAAAGAAGCACGGGGCGTGCGAGACGCACTCATCCACCCTCACTAGTAACTAGGAGAAGCCACGGGGGAGTGATGTAGCCAGGGAATCCTATGTATCCTGCAGTGGAGGTTTGTGCCAGTGGATGCACCAGGTTATCACTGTGGCTGTCTGCAAAGAAAGACTGTGTTACAGCCAGACTTATCTTGTTGGCTCATGCCTTAGAAATTTCCTAATGTCAGTCATCAGCTACCTGGTTCAACCACTCTCATCAATCAAAATGGCTGCCACCACCCAGCCGAGCCCCGGGCTTCCTCCCTGCTGAAGAAGCCCAGTGAGCCTGATGTTCTCAGCAAAGCACAAAGCCCCACAAGCCAGAGACCTGTGTGGATAGTGACCCACAGCTTGCAAGCAGTTCATGTGCCTTTGAGAATCAAGCAGGATGGTGAGGTTTCAGTCCCCAGAGGTTACATAATTCTCACAGGGAAGGAAAATGCAAAGCAATAAGCAGCTGCTGTGGGCAGCCAGAGCACTGCAGAAAATATTTCAGGGCCTGTTTCTGCTGCCAGTTCTGCTGGGGTGAACCTGGAACAGGTCCAGAGAAATAGCAAAATTTCCCTAGGTTCATACTTATGCATTTGGGATCAGAATTAGGCCCAAGTGAAGTGAAAAAAACCAACAGGAGCCATTTGTTGTGAGCATGGTCCCCGCTCCACGAGCTCTGTTCCCATTACACACGAGACAACGAGAAGAGTCAGCAAACCACAACATAGGAAGGAATGTGCTCCCAGCCTCACTGGAACTCAGCTCAGAGGAGCAGCTGCTCCTGCAGCTCCCGCTTCTGCTCTTTTCCTGAATTTCACACTGCTACCGCTTGATGGGAGGGAAAAAGAGGAGGTCAGTGAGTATTTATGGGGGTGGAAGGAAGTGATGTGATTGCAAGGCTTCATTCTGCTCCTGCTTACTTTGGAGTGACTCCTCCTAGCTTAGCAGAGCTCTATGTCAGTATAAAAATGGTGAGCATGTTAGAGGCACGCCTACATCAATCTGAGGGATTTTGCTGCTGTTTGAAAGATAACAAAGCTTGAGGTGGGCTGGAGACCTCCTCTTCTTTCCTAATAGGTTCCCAGATGTGGTGGAAACTGGAATCCAGAGAAATCAAGCAGCACAACCCTGGCATATGCAGTGCCAGTCTTAGCCCTGTTACTTCAGCAGGCAAAAACCAGGAGGGTCAGCTGTAAGGGATCTGTCCTTGGATTTGTGGTTACAGCTAAACTGACTGTCAGGAGCCTATGCAGATCAATCTGGTGCAATATACATCAGACCTGCAGCTTAGCAGTGAAAGTTAATACCCCAGCGCCACCCAAACAGTAAATGTTTTTATTACCACATTTACACAGAGAGAAGGCAGCAGGACCCAAAGCCTATCCTCGATG